AATGTGAAAGCGTCCTCGGGTATGTAACCTCAAGTTTGCTTTTCCCTGGTGATAGATATTTTTGTTCTTTTGATGGTAGGTTCCTGTGGGATGTCGACTCCCCCAACAATCATGTGGATGACATGTTGTGGTTCTTCTGTTTCATTTTTCCTGTTCGCCTCTCTTTCCCGAAATTGATTTTTGGCTCGGTCGCTGAGGAACTCTCAGAGGTGCCATTTGTTAAGTAGTCGGACTATTTCTTCTCGGAGTTGTCTGCAATCTTCAGTCCTATGACCGTGTGTGCCATGGAATTCACACACCAGGTTAGGATTCCTCTACGACGGATCTGATTGTACGGGCCTTGGCCACCTGGTGTCTTTGATTTTACCTATGGCTGATACGATGTCTGAAATATCGACATTGAAGTTGTACTCAGATAACTTGGGTGCCTCATTCGACCCTGTGTATCTATCGAATCCGGCTCTATTTACGAGTTCCCGAGGATTCTGACCTCGATCTGTCCTTCGGTCGTTTCGGGGTATGTTATGCCTTGGGGCGTTTCTTCGATCTTCAGTGTATGGTTGGTACCTTTCCTTGTTTGGCTTTGGCTCCTTTGTCAAGAGCCTACTAGGATATACCGAGTCCGAGGGGGCTCCCTGTTGGTCGTCCTCGACCCTACTCTTCGACTGATATCAGTTGTGGACATTCGACCAAGTCACGGCGGGATATTCAACCAAGTTCTGCTTTAGTTGCTTTGAAGCTACCGAGCTTCATTCGTTCAAAACTTGGGTGAAGGCCTGCACTGCCCAGTCATCGGAGATTGGTGGTAATTCCATTCGCTCCATTTGGAAGCGAGATATGAACTCCCGCAACATCTCATTGTCTCTTCGTTTGATTTTGAAGACGCCGAACTTCCTTGTAGCAACCTTGATGACACCGGTATGTGCCTTTATAAAAGAATCTGCCAGTATGGCAAATGAGTCTATCGAGTTTTGGGATAGGTTGTGATACCACATCATGGCTCCTTTTGAAAGTGTTTCTCCGAATTTCTTTAATAGGACGGATTCGATCTTGTCATCCTTTAGGTCATTTCCCTTTACGGCACAAGTGTAAGTAGTGACGTGCTCGTTGGGATCCGAGGTTCCGTTGTACTTCGGGAGATCGGGCATTCTGAATTTCTTTGGGATGGGCTTCGGAGCCGCACTTGACAGGAATGACTTTTGTACGAATTTGTTTGAATCAACACCCTTCAGGACCGGGGGTGCCCCCGGGATCTGATCGACCCTTGAATTGTAGGTCTCCACCTTTTTATCATTAGCTTCTATCTTCTTTTCGCCCGATTCAATCCTCTTTGTGATGTCCTCGAGCATCTTCATAATAGCGGGGTCAGCTGCTGACCCATTGTTGCTCGATCTTTCCGACACCTGTTCGGCTTGAGGGGCCGTTTCCGGTGCTAATGTGCTTAGAGTTTTTTGGTGGCTTTGCAATTGAGCAATCGCCAACTGTTATGCCTTCAACATCTCAAAAATGACGTGAAGGCTAACCTCTTGTTCCCCCCGAGCTGGGGTTTTCTAAGCTTCTTGTTAGTTTTCTTGGCGTGTACTCCTATTAGTGTGGGAGCTTATATCGACATGTTGGGCGTTGGGTGAGACCACATCCACGAGGATTGGCTCCAGTGCATCCTCAGGGTTTCGCTGTGGTACACCGACGCCTGGAATAGCTACACCATTCTTTCCATGGTCTTCAAGACCGTTGTTTCCATGTGGATTCACTGAGTTAGACATTCTGACCTGAAACCAAAGATTCTTGGGCAAGAAAAAGTATACAGAATAACTTGTGTTTTCAATAAATCAGCATGAAAACAATCCCTATTATTTTTAGTCCCACGGTGGGTGCCAAACTGTTTACCTCAAAAATGGTAATTACAATTAGATTTGATTTTGTGGTTCTAAAAATACGTAATTTATTTTTATGCTAGTTGTTAGGCAGTAGATGCTAAGTATGAGACTGGAAAATAAGATAAGAGCTTGAAAAAATAGTATGCTATGCAAACCAAGTGGCCGATAGTCGGGGTCTCGAGCTAGACCATACAGGGCCTCGGGGTCGAGCTAAGCGTTAGGCTGCGGATAGCCAATGAAGGACTAACAGTTCCAGGTCTTTAATGAGGGATCTTTATGATCAATGATGGGTAGTAAATGAAGAATAATAAATGAAACGCAATAGATGTAAGTAATAAATCTGAGGAAAGACAATAGAGAATGTTTAAGTTAGAGAGCAGAGAATGTTCTTGTTCTTGTATTGAATATCATCCCCCTTTACAAAATGACAAGGGTCCCCTTTGTATAGGAGAGGTAATCCCAACAAAGTACATATGTATTTATTACAAAGGTATGCAGATGGTACAACTATTTAATGCCACAGTACGGGCTTGTGCTAGCCTAATAGACTAGGTTAGCTTTAATCACGTGCCTTGGGAATCTCCCAGTCGCTCATCATAGCCGCCGATTTGCTCTACCCCGAGGTCGAGCATAGGGAACCCTCGGGGTCGAGCCTCAAACTGGGCCTCGGGCCTTCTGAAGACGGGCTATGGGATGTAATAATGATCATAAATTAAGCTCTCCGATTTTAGTCGTATACAAGTAGTCACAATGAACATTGTTCTTCCTTTGTCTATAACCTCCACTGGTGACATTTGGACCCTTGTTTCCATACAGAGCAGTGCTCTCTAAACCTTCTGCAAGCTGTGTAACCTGAGCCATGCTTGCCAGATTTCTTTGACTCTCTTGATCAACAAACAGTGAATAGGCCTTGTTAATAGTAGGTACTGGAGCCATAATCATAATTTGACTGGACTGTGCATAAGAGTCATTTAAACCAGTAAGAAACTGCAGCAATCTCTGAGCCTCAAAGTGCTGAGCATACAGCTTAGACTCAGGACATCGACACCCTGGGCAAGGCATTAGAGCATCAAACTCATCCCATAAATCTATCAGTTTTGAGAAGTAGTCTGCCACAGTCATGGTTTCTTGAGTCAAATTGTGCATTTCTCTATGAAGAAACAATACTCTAGAGCCATTCACTTTGTCAAATCTTTCTTTTAGATCTTCCCACACCTTGTGAGCACTAGATGCATATAATACACTACTCAATAAACCAGGCCTGACAATATTCATTATCCATGACAACACAACAACATTAACCTTTTCCCACAGATCATGAAGTTCTGGTTCGAACTTAGATTTTGGAAACCTTCCATCGACAAAACCTAACTTACTTTTACCTAACAGACCAATATAGCATGACTCCACAAGGCATAGTTAGTAGATTTAGTCAATTGAATAGAGACTAGAGAACTACCTGGTGTGTCAGTTGGCTGTGGTACAGTGGGTGATTACAATCTATACAAGGAAATGGCGAACCAGCTGGAGCAGAGTTTCCAAAAGTGTCAGTAGCTGATGTATGAGCTGTTGTATTGTCTTCTTCAGTGCCAATCGCCATTGTAGATTTCACCTTGAATGACAGAATATAAACCATCGCTTCGATTTTACGATTACTCTAAGACAATTCTGCACCTAATTTTGCAGAATTGAAGTAGCCTAGAAGCAGAGAAGAGAAAACAGAAAAGAGAATTAAAGAACGAGGACAGCTTAGATCATTGCCGGTGGCTCTGATACCATGTTAGCTACCATGGAAAGCTGATCTAGAGCTCGAATAGAAGAAGAATTGAAGCAGCAAAGAAGAGGAGAAAGAAACACTATTTCATTGAATAATTGCCAAAAATAATGAAAATGAATAGCTACTCTTTTAAGCTAAGCAAGCAGACATTTATATTTTCTTCTAACTACCAACTAACTAACTAACCAACCTAGTTAGTGACTACAATAATGATTAACTATAGTTAATTATCAGCTTGTTCATTCAGCCCTTCAACAGTAACGAACATTAATTTGAAAAGTGTTATTCTTTTCCTGATATATTTTATCTAATGATAATTTGCTTTGTATTCTTTTAACAGTTTTTTTGAATTATACAATCATACTATTGGTAATACTTTTGCTTTTTAATAATTAGAATTATTTCAATGCACTAACTCGAAACATTATTTGGAGAAAATTCAAAAAATCTGCTTATTAAGCTATAGAGGTTTTAGCTGAACAACTTGAATTTTTGTGCTTTTGCTTGGAACATTCGACTGGTGCAAATGTAGTCCCTAGGGTAAATGAGACTGATGATATTTTACCCATTTATCTGTTAATTGGTAATGAAAACGGTCATTGACTCTATTCTTCACTCATACTTGTAGGCAACACTTGATCCAAAGGGAATCTAAGATTGATGGTGTTGTATTGATCACTTTACCTGCCGTAGGAGTTCAACCACCTCATCTAACTTTCATTGTAAGTGAGTTTTAAAATCAAGTTCCTAAATTTATTAATATCTTTTGTGGAGCTTGACAGTTTAGTAGTCTTGCTTCTTAGTTTATAGGTACTTGCTCCAATTGTCTTGTTAGAATAGAATTTTTGTATTTAATAAAGTAAGTTTTTGTTTTAACAACAACCTCATTTATGATAGAGCAATCAAAACTGATGAGAGGTATATTCACTAGAAATATTGTCTATAAGTATTAAGTGAGGTACAATTCATTACATATTTATATTATATAAAATCAAAATAAGTGAAAAAGAATCACATGTATCAAACTAAACTTTGATTATTCATCTTCGTAGATTCAGAAAATATCTTATCATCTGAACCATAACAAACATGTTATTATACGATGATCAACATTAATAATTTACATGTTACTATATGACGTACAAGAACAAGGGTGATGTCCAGAAATGCAACAACTATATGGGTATCAAGCTGCTAAGCCATACGATGAAAGTTTGGGAGAGGGTGGCGGAAGGGAGGGTAAGGAGTGTGTATGTCTGAGAACCAGTTCAGTTTCATGCCAAATCGTTCGACTACGGAAGCCATTCATCTTGTAACGAGATTGGTCGATGGAGTAGTATAAGACAATGAATAGGGACTTGCATATGGTGTTCATTGACCAAGAGATGGCATACAACAAAGTGCCAAGAGAGATTTTATGGAGGTGTTTGGAGGCTAAAGGTGTGCATGCAGCCTACATTTGGGTGATTAAGGACATGCATGATGGAGCTAAGACGCATGTGAGAACAACAGGCGGAGACTCGGAACACTTTCCGCTTGTGATAGGGTTGCATCAAAGATCAACCCTTAGCATGTTTTTATTTTTCTTGGCAATAGACGCATTGACTCGACACATACAAAGGGAGGTGCCATGGTATATGTCATTTGTAGATGATATAGTTCTGATTGATGAGATGCGAGATGTTGTTAACAAGAGTCTGGAGGTTTGGAGACAAATTATTGAGTCTAAGGGTTTTAAGTTGGGACTAAGATGGAGTACTTGGAGTGCAAGTTCAGCAACGTTACCCAGGAAGCATACATGGATGTGAGACTTGATACATAAGTCATCCCCGGGAGAGGAAGTCTCACGTACTTTGGGTTAATATTACAAGGTGAAGGGGAGATTGATGTGGATGTCACACACTGTATTGGAGCAGGGTAGATGAAGTGGAGGCTCACTTCTCGTGTCTTATGTGATAAGAATGTGTCACTGAAACTTAAAGGTATGATTTACAAAGCAGTAGTTAGACCGACTATGATGTATGAGGCAGAGTGCTGGCTGATCAAGAACTTTCATGTCCAGAAGATGAAAGTAACTGAAATGAGGATGTTGAGATGCATGTGCCATCATACCAGGTTAAATAAGATTATGAATGAAGTTATTCGGTATAAGGTGGGAGTGGCCCCCATGGAAGATAAGATGCGGGAGGCGAGGTTGAGATGGTTCAGACATGTTAACAGGAGAAGCACAAAAGCCCAGTTAGGAGGTGTGAGAGGTTAAGCTTGGTGGTTATGAGAAGGGGTAGAGGTAGGTTAAAGAAGTCTTAGGGAGAGGTGATTAGGCTGGACATAGCGCAACTGGAGCTTACTGAGAACATGACCCTTGATATTAGGCTGTGGAGGTCGAAGATTAGGGTAGAAGGTTAGTAGGTAGTCGAGTATTTCCCTTTGTCTTAATCTGTTCGATTGCATTAGTGTTAGTTTGATGTCTTGTTAATCTTAGATTGCTATTATTACCTACCGTTTAGTTGTTACCTTGGTTTCGGTCTTCTTTTTATCTTTTTGTTATTATTTGTTTTCGTTACTTCTTTTCAGCTTTTCTTTAGCTGAGGATTTATCGGAAATAACCTCCCTGCCTTCTAGGGTAGGGATAAAATTGCGTACATTTTACCCTCCCCAGACCCCACTACCTCACTTGTGGGAATTTGCTGAGTTTGTTGCTGTTGTTGTTGTATATGATGATCCACATTAATCATTCAAAAACGATATAATATGCTCTTCAGTTATAATTATTTACTGTAAATTTTATTTTAGTAATATTAATATTACTTTACAAAATCACATACTACATTACTCGACATACACGTGTAATGCACGTGTTGAGAAACTAACACTAATATGTGGCTATCAATATAGATTTATTTTCAGATAGTGTAAGCCAATATGTTTACAATTTATGGACCGCCATCTTGTTTACAAGATGCACGTATTGAACAAAATACTGATCATGTCCTTACCATTGGGGCTTTTATTTCCAGATCATGTATATACTTTATAATGTTTGATGAGACTATCTGCTTGATATCCTAGTTTATATTATTTTAAGTGTTTATCTATGATGCAACGTGTGCAGGGTGAAATCCGGGAGGCCGATTTCTCCTTGACTGAATACCTCGAAGGGTGATCCCAGAAGCCCGGGATCTCGAGCCAGTCACTTCCCTCAAGATCGGCCGGTACCTTGCCAAGGATAATGTCGACCAAAGCCCCGACGAATGCAGGAATCTCTCGAGGAATGCACCCGTGCCGATCAGGTCTATTCAAGCAGCTCAACATCAGCCCACGCGTATATCGCAAAGCTAGCCGGATGTCCCGTCCTATTTCTTTTATCACGCAACGTTTCTTGTACTAAGTTTGGACTTCCTCCTTTCTATAAAAGGGGAGTCGTTAACACTCTGTAAAGGCAGAGCTCCAATCACTGTCAAGTGCAATAATATCTTCCCTCTCTTTCTCCTCTCTAACTCGCTTGCCCTCACTGGCTCGAAGCCATTTATCTTTTATTACCTTCTTGTTTGTTCTTTGTTTATCACTTGGTACTGGCCCGAAGTCGCCTTAATGCCCATCACTCTCTTACTTGTTCTTCATTATATTGCTTAGTATTGGCCGTGAAGAGCCTTGTTTAGTTATATCCTCAACTGTTATCCCATCCCCGACTATCCCCGATAGCTCGAGCTCGACCCTGACGTCGACCCTGAAGTCCCCCATCGACCAGACCTATATTTGTACAACAGGCCCCTCGGTTTGATTACTGTCTCGTTTTAGCTCGCATTCCATTATTAAACTTCATATTACTATCATTAACTGCTCTAACAACTAGCTCGGGAATAGATCACGTATTTTTAGAACCCCATTTACAAATTTAATTATTGTTATCATTTTCACGGTAAACAGTTTGGCGCCCACCGTGGGGCTAAAACTAATAGTGATTATATTCTTACTGGTTTCATTGCACAAACACACGTTATCTTTCACACTTTTTCTTTTCCAAGATCCTTTGATTTCAGGTCAAAATGTCTAGCTCGGTGAATAAAGTCGAGAACGACAACCTCAAAAATCACGAGGAAAATGGCGTGGCTGTCCCGGCCGCCGGAGCACCCCAATAGAATCCCGATAACAGGCCCAAACCGGTTCTAGCGGATGCGGATTCACAGGACGCACAACAAGTCGGCGAAACTTCTCACATCGACAGGAGCATAAGACAGAACGACCGACAGGAAGCTCAAAAAACCCCAGCCCGGGAAGAACAGGAAGTTAGTCTTCATATTATTTTTGAAATGTTGCAGGCACAGCAACTGGCCATTGCCCAATTGCAAAGCCATCCGAGAACTCCCAGCACAGCGGCACTAGAGACAGCTCCCCCCGCCGAACAAGTACCAGAAAGATCAAGCAATAACGGGTTGGTGGCCGACCCTGCCATAGTGAAGATGCTCGAGGACCTCACCAAAAGGATCGAATCAAGTGAGAAAATGATTGCAGCCAACAATAAAAAGGTCGAGACCTACAACTCTAGGGTGGATCAGATCCCGGGAGCACCCCCGGTCTTGAAAGGTTTGGATTCGAAGAAGTTCATACAGATGTCGTCCACGAGGAAGCAGCCTCGAAGCCAATTCCTAAAAAGTTTAGAATGCCGGAACTCCCTAAGTACAACGATACCACCGACCCCAACGAACACGTTACTGCCTGTACCTGCGCAGTAAAAGACAACGATATAAAGAATGACGAGATTGAGTCCGTATTGCTGAAAAAATTCGGAGAAACGCTTTCGAAGGGGGCCATGATGTGGTATCACAACTTGGCTCCCAACTCCATAGATTCATTCACCATGTTAGCAGACTCCTTCGTAAAAGCACATGCTGGAGCCATCAAGGTAGCAACGAGGAAGTCTGACATTTTCAAAATCAAGGAAAGAGAGAACGAGATGCTGCGAGAATTCGTGTCCCGCTTCCAGATGGAACAGATGGAGTTGCCGCTAGTCTCCAAGGACTGGCAGTGTAGGCCTTCACCCAAGGCCTAAACGAATGAAGCTCGGTGGCCTCAAAACAGCTAAAACAGAACCTGATCGAATATCGGCCGTGACTTGGTCGGACGTCCACAACCGGTACCAGTCAAAGATCAGGGCCGAGGACGACCAACTGGGAGCTCCTTGGGGCTCAGTGTACCCAAACAGACTCCTGGTAAAAGAATCGAAACCAAACAAAGAAAGGTATCAGGCGTACCTCGAAGACAGAAGGAACGCCTCGAGGCGCAACCTACCTCGCAACGATCGGAGGATAGATCAAGGGCAGGACCCTCGAGGGATCGTCAACAGAACTAGGTTCGATCGAAACATAGCGCCAACAAACGCGCCCCACTTATCGGAATACAACTTCAGCGTTGATGTATCAGACATCGTGTTCGCTATCAGCAAAATCAGAGACGCCAAGTGGCCCAAACCGATACAGTCAGACCCTTCACAGAGAAATTACAACTTAGTGTGCGAGTTCCACAACACGCACAGTCACAAAACCGAGGATTGCCATCAACTACGAGAAGAAGTGGCTCGACTGCTCAACAAAGGGCACCTTCGGGAATTCCTCAGCGATCGGGCCAAAAATCAATTCCGAGAGAGGGAGGCCACCAAGAAAAATGAGGCAAACGAGCCGTAACACATCATCCACATGATCATGGGGGTCGCCAATGCCCCGTAGGAACTAATGAGAAGAACAAAAATATCCATCACTAGAGAAAAATGTACTCGGGGATATATCCCCGAAGACGCCCTCACGTTCAGCGAAGAGGACACCGAGGCCCTATCTCAACCCCACGACGCCCTGGTAATCTCCTTTCTTGTAAATTCTTTTCAGATAAAATGTGTACTCGTGGATCCAGGTAGCTCGGCCAATATTATCAGGTCGAGGGGGATAGAACAACTCGGGCTGCTCGAACAAATCGTGCCCGCCACTCGGGTCCTCAATGGATTCAACATGGCGAGCAAAACAACAAAAGGAGAAATCATCCTTCCGGTTACCGTGGCCGGCACAACCCAAGACACCAAATTCCATGTCATCGAGGGAGATATGAGGTATAACGCCTTATTTGGACGGCCATGGATACACTGCATGAGAGCAGTACCATCCACCCTCCACCAGGTGATAAAATTCCCGATAAAGGATGGGATCAAAACCGTCTACGGGGAACAACACGCGACAAGGGAAATGTTCGCTATACACGACGTGGTACCAACGCTCATGCCTCCGCCCCAAATGAAACAACGGGCAAACCAGGTTTCGCCCCCGATCGAACTTGACAAAACAAAGTAGAGATCCACGTCGCATCTCCGCCCCCGGGCAGTTATAATAGACCAATCCCAAGGCATCGCCGGCATATCTCGTTTCAAGGTACGACCATTCCCCTTTCTTTTACTTCAAATTTGGAATTAACCTTCGTGCAGGCACCCAATCGGAGCTGCTGGGACGTTAGTGCTGTCGCAAGACCTCGAGGCCCCAAAGGCGCACCCGTTGCACTCTTTTCCTTCGACCGAGTTTT